GCCTTGGGGTTCCCCCGGAGGAGCTGGAAGAAGTGGCTGGGGAGAGGGAGGTCTGGGCCTCCCTTCTGAAGCTACTGCCCCCGCGACCCGACCCCGGATAGGCGGAAGAAAATGGATGGATGGATGGATGGATAATGCTCTCTGTTACTAACCTACCAGATCAAATTTTAGGATATTTTTTCTGTTTATTATTGTCTATCAGCTACAGTAAATAAATAGTCTCTAAATAGCTGTAAAATCCACTGATTATTTAAATTATATTTTAGTGTTTTATTCAAATCTATTTGGTGGCTCATGAGATAACATACAGTAGGCCTACTGATAACGTTTAAAACCAATCTTCAAACACAATTCTTGTGCAATCTATTAGTGCGAAGAGTAGGCTACCATAATGTAGGAATTAGAGTTATTTTAAAAAGACATGAATCTTCAGTTGAGTGTTTTTCTGGACCGGAGGTGTCAGTTGTAAGAACGGGTGTTCTCGGAGAAYGAAGGTGACAGATGACTTGTTCAGRTCTGACAGTCTGAAGYGTCAGCTGATCCTTTCAYGGTCTGCTGATGTGTAAAACCTCCAAGAACTGAAGAAACTCCACTAACTCCAGAGAGAAAGGTAAAAAGTTTGGGATGTGCAAATGCTTTGATTATTTATAGAACCTGGAGTCAAATAATTAAATGAGCAGAGGACAGATTCAGCTTACGATCATTACACGAGTATTTTCAGTTTTATCACTATCTGTCAACGGGAATAGGTTTATCTGTCTGTTAGCAAAATATCGCATGAACCTCAAGATGGATTTTAACAAAACTTTCAAGAAATAATCACTGGTTGTATGTTTAGGTGATTAAATTCTGGAGCCAACCCAGTTCAAGATGGCAGCTACAGCCATGTGACCTTACAAACACAAAATCACTATAATTCAGTCCATTTTACAGATGGACTAAAATCTRTTGTGGTCATACAGACAGTACAAGGACACGTAGAATCACTTATTTCTACGGTTTGACCAAAACAGTTAATATTTCTCAACATAATAAAACTGGCATGAAAGGTTTAGTTTTTCTTTCGGAACAAAGAATAAGAAAATACAACCATTTCTTTTGGAAAAGAGCAGACATGAACAATTTTTCATATTAAAGCAAACGTGTGTGTGTGTGTGTGTGTGTGTGTGGGGGGGGGTATTATAAAAAAAACTTACTTTATTTTAGCTTTAAATCATGTTATGCCATAATTCCCTCATCAAAAACATACCCAGATTGTTGCTTTAATTCATTCAGGCATGTTTAGAGAAAGCCTTGAATCTCCTGTGGTAATGTGGAGCTGCCTAAACGTTTGCTGGTGCAAAGCCCCGCCTATTTACACAAAGCTGCTCCCTGGAGCTCTTTCTGCACCAGAGCTCCCACCCCACAGAGCACCCCTCCCCAAAGCATTGTTGTGAAGACGTGCTGAAGTGGGAGCATCTGAAATGGTAGGACAGAGGCCAATTTCAAGGCGTTTTAAACTATGATGCAAACTGACTGCAACAGTTAATTGTGGTAGAGCTGAAATATCTGCCTTGAAAAAAAAACATAAAGAATATCTTTTATTAATGGACTACAACCAGTATTTTTTTTTCAATCACACTGATTAGGTTGTTATTTACCAGTGAACCAACTGCCTGACATACAGTATAATAAACTTTAATTATAAGCCAACTTTCTGTAAAACAAATGACATAAGYAGCCAAGATGTTTAGGAAAAAATGCTTTTATTTATTTATTCTTTACACACCTTAAAAAGCAAATTTAAAGCACAAAGATTTACTCTGTATATAAACACTTCTCTTACTCAGACTAAAAAAATGATAACATTTGCACATTGTGCTTCGATTGCAAAGTCTGTACAACCACACTGGGTCTGTGGTGCTGCYGCCAGGCCCAGTGAACATCTTATTGCATAAATCAATTTGACCTCAGAGGCCATTTGATGAAGAGATATTTTGTTTTTTTTAATCAAATTATGAACAGACAGAGGGGAGAAAAAAAGTTTTAATAACACAGTGAAACAGCTTTAGCAGCTTAATGAAGCTGTACACCRTCCAGAAAACAAAAACAGAGTCTAAGAGAAAACAACAAAATTATGTGAGATTAAACTGCAGTTGTGCTTTTATTAACCGAACAAAACGCAATCCCCTGTAAATGATTCAAACAACAAAAGGGAAACACCTTCAAGGAGAATCTGCAGCTGTTAGCTCGTTTCTCTTCAAAACAGATTTAATGCTAATCTCTAGTTGCACCATTTCCCTTTGCAATAAGCAGGTTTTACAAGTCTGGGTTTTGCTAKAATCTACTCGAACCTACGCTTAAAAAAACTAGCATTTCTCAAAAGGCAGTGTCTCTCCGTGACGTCTCCGTGGAGACTTGTCACCAAACGCTAGATGGAAGTCAGTTTGCACAAAATATACAAATTCAAATGAACTTGAAGACATGACTTTGGTATAAACAACGTGAAACTTCGCTCGTGCACAAAAACGTCTATTCCTGAATGTTCCCTTAAATAAAACAATGAGTGCTTAGCTTGTAGAAATGGAAAAAGTTGAACAAAGAGAAAACAAATGAACTGAGATCAGCAAAAAGACAAAAAATRATGTGAATCTTTTTAATATTTTGACAATGAAGTCATGAAACAAGTTTTAACCTAAGATTTTTTTTGTGAATAATCTGGATTAGTTGTGCAAACAGAATAAATGTACTTTGTTCCAGTTAATTTTCCACGTTTCCCCAATCTTCAGACTTCKAATATGTTTTTCTGCTTGAGTAACAAATTTTACGATCAGCAGAAAGCAGCACAGTTATCCTGGTACAATGATTGATCTTTGTCTAATAACAGATTAAATTGAACACATTTCTTTGATATAATCTGCGTCAACGTGGACGATGTGGGAATATAATTTGATCTCAGGGATGAACACCAGTTTGATGACGAGCCCTGTCAGCACCCTCCAAACAACGTGTCGCTCTGAATCCTGTTAATCTGTAAAGCAGATCGATGAGAGTCCCATTGATGTCGAGGGCTTCGCTTTCGTCAGGAAAAAAGCGCTGACTCATTCATGACTCAGGACTGAACTTGTGTGAAGCCTCTTTCACCCTATTAGTCGGGTGAATTGCGAGAGTAGTCTCTCTCCTCATTTCGAGGTCAGCAGTGCGGATCAAAACTAGCGAGTTCACGCTCTGGGAGCAGGTGAAGGGAGCGGCGAGAAACCTACAGGGACCGGCAGAATTTCCCTGCTGTCTCACCAAACGCTACAAACACCAACATCACTAATCTGATCATCAGTTTCAACTACAGGCTACAGACGCACAGCTTTAGAATAAATTTGCAATTAAAAAAAACAAACAAACAAACAAAAAAACACATCTACTAAGATAAATAAAAATTAACAAAAAAAAAGAGCTACAACAAAAAATAAGTTGTGATTTTTTTTGGACAAATTCATTAGGAAATTATTCATKTTGTTTCTTCCCAAACAAATCAAGAACTACTTCAACAAAAAAACAAAAGAAGGTAATTCAGTAAACAAACTTATTTACACCTGCAGTCTCTTGTTTCAGTCGTAAATGCTGCAAAAACATTTTAAAGGAACGTAAACAAATATTGTAGATTTATTGTTTCCTGAGCCAGATAATTAAAAACAAATTAAACTGTTGTTGTTTTCTCTGATTTGTGATCAACTGAAATCACTTTCACATCTTATGTGGGACATTTTACTTACCGAGCTGAACTGAGAGGCTACGTTTACACTGCAAGCATACGTGTTACTTAATCAGGTACATATTCAGTCATGTCACACTTCATTGACTTTTTCGTCACTGAGGTARGGGGGTCTACTGATCTATCCAAATATTGATGTCACCAATTTTAACTTCACGCAGTATATAGCTTGAAACCGCACATTCTTCAGCTACAGAACGAAAGTCCAGTTTTGTCTTTTTGTACACGTTCTAGATTTGTCATATCGTGACAAATCATGATGCTAACACTGGTAAACTAATGTGCTGGATCGTATCACTGCTAGAATGATGGGATCGATACTTGAGATAGTTTCTACTTTCAGTCACTCCTGTTCCAGAAGGAGGCAGGAAGCAGCACGATCAAATGTAAACATTGAGCGAAACAAGAATGGCAGAAAATGATCTCGTCAGCTCTAAGCAGATGTAGCATCCATATTTACTTCTGTAAACACAGCGATGTGCGTGACGTCACTTCTTCTACACATGCGGGTCTCTTCAGGGTTATGGACTGTCCACACTGGAGTCTGATGGTGATCGTGTTTAAATTATAATRCAAACTGTGCAAAAAATATAAATAGAGCAAAACACTGGAAAGGAGCATTAAAACTTGCAGTATGAACGTAGCCCAAGTAATGCATTTTGTTTGCGTCTRTGACTTTGTTTACGATTTTGTTACTAATCAACACACGTATAAAACAGCTGACAATATAGTCCCAACATTTTAATTGCTTCAGAGCCCAAAGCTAATCGTAATGAGTTATTAGGTTTAGAGACAGTTGAAAACCTGATGGATTTCTCTCTGGGAAACAAAAACCAAGTGTCGCATCTAAATATGATTGTTTATTTCTCAGAGTTGGTTTTAAGTAGCTTAAACATCTAAATCTATTTCCTAATATTGTGATCACACGAACAGAAACATGACAAACATAATACAAGTCCTCACTGTAATTCTTGTGAAAAGTGGTTTCAAAGCTAACTGGAGTGCAAACACAGAGCATCTGATTCCTAAACTTGTAGGGAAATAAAACCCAAACTGTTTATCTTCTGTTGATTATTGATCACTTACTCTTTTTGGCAACATTCTCCTTTAAACAAGTTATAATATACTCTGTTTTTCACAGTTTGGTTGAATAAACTCTGCAAATCTGATATGAAGTGAAAAGGAAATGAAAATAAATGTGGAGGAATTAAAGTCAGAGATAAGGTTCTAACATTATAATAGTGATTTTTTTTTTAAACAAAAAACACAATCATTCTTCCAAAATGCAAACACTCATGCTGAAACTAGGTCTGTGCATAATTACAAACACTAGCCCCGGGGACAGATAACCAGTTGAGCTACAGTAGATGTTGCAGAGATTATAAAACCTGCAACAATGCACATTAAATACGAGCATAAAGAGCTCATCTCTCAGACTGTGATCCTCAGCCAGAAGTAGGACTCATTCAGTCACAAAAAGTGAGCACACGTCTCAATCCTYCACTGAACACGCGGATTCTCCTCTGAACTTAGCTGTTACCTCGGTAGTTTACAGTTGGACTAGTTGTGCTTGGCACGGCCCCCTTTTAAGTAGTTTTTCCAGCGTTTGACCACATCCTTGAAGATGGGGGAGTTGTCTATGGATGCTATCAGCTGCAGCTGGTTAATGTGCGTGGTGTGATAGTCCCAGCGCGCCAGGTTGGGCGCAGTGCCCAACATGAAGTGACGCAGGTCATAGATGCTCCCCGACCCCGTGTCAAAGAGTGGCAGCATGGCCTTCAGCGACTCCATGCCGTGGCTGAACAACTGCCCCGCCTCTCTGCCCACAATCTCCCCTGCAGTCTCAGCCAGGTCGTAGAGTCCCAGCAGGGAGTAAATGAAGCCGTTGAGGACAAACGAACTTGGCGTGGTGGGGTACTCTTCATACCAGTCGTACTTGTTCATGAACACTGCTTTGACCCCRTGCTGCGCCGAAAGCACCTTATATGGTCCAACTGCCTTGAGGGCAGCGTTGAGGTAAGCGTGGTTCTTGGTGATGAGGTAGGCTCTCACCAGGGTGGACATGGCCTGGCCCTGAGCCATGGCCGAGTACCAGCCGGGCTCCAGAGGCCGGAAGCCCTCGCCAAGTTTACGGGTGACCATGATGGGCCATCCGCCCCGCTCGTCCTGGTTCCGCAGCAGCCAGTCGCTGGCAGCAAAGAAGGCGGCCATGTGGGAGGTGGTGGAGATGGTGATGTTGTCAATGAAGCCACGCCCAYGTAAAACTAACCGCACCACCCGTCTAGGCATGATCTAAGGAGAAAAATCACATTTCTTTAAACTGTTCAACCCAAAAACATTTAGACAACTTAAAATAAAGACAAAAAAAACTTATCATCACAGAAGCAAAACGAGAACAATTTAATTTTTCTAAATTGAATAATAAGTTGTTTTGGTTTCACTTTGACACTTCTCGTCTCCACTTCAWCTCGATCCAGATGAACAGATTAGRWGTGTCCCGATACCAGTTTTTCCTCAAACTGAGTATGAGTACAAGCACTTAAGTTTGGGTACACACCGATACCGAGTATCTATACAGATACTGAGATTGAACATAAATATTACAGAATGACTTTGAAGGAGACATATCGTGCTTTTATAATGTCCATAGTTAATCATTCAGTTGGGGTCTTTATTAAGTAGAACTGCAATGTTTTGATCTGAATTCCTTGTTATTGTAACTCCACAAGTCCCTCTTTCACCCCTGTTCTGATGTGTGTCTGAGAGCAACTTGTTTAGGTGCTGTCTCTTTAAATACAAACAGGACCCTTCATGCCCTGCACCCCTTTAGTTCTCACWCCCAATGATYGTTGWCCACTCTACTCCATTCTGCCATTTTTTATAATTTGATAGCAGACGTACGATTACCTAGAAATGTTTTATTTACAAATTAATTTGAAGAGGTCAACAACAAAAGACGAAAGATCGAGTATTCGTAAAAATGCCGTTATCGGGACACCACTAGAACAGATATTTACGACTTGCCTCAGTTTTGACTGACACCAACCTTTGTGGCTTTGACGGCCTTTGTGTTCGACAGTCCCACACCCTTCCTGAGGTCCGTCAGCAGGTCTCGGGTCAGCGTGCTCCAGGAAGTTCGAGGCCCGATTCCATAGGTGACGTCGTGGTCTTTGAAGGCGATGAGCTGTGTGTTGGTCACATAATGAATGGTGAAGGGCGGACCCTTCTCTGTGGTTTCGAGGACCACAGACAAGCTGCCGTTGGAGGTGAACTTGATGTCTAAGCTGAGGATGAAGTCTCTTGAGTTGCCCAACTGGAGCGATACACCTTCTGAAGAGTCTGTGCATAATGGATTGTTGTAACAGATAAAAAGGGTAAAAGATGTTAGTTTGCCAGCATTTTTACAGTATTTATTTTCACAGCTCATTGGGTCAAAATCTCACTTGACTCGTTTAAGGAGCTTTTCATGATTAATGGATGACAACTATTTTTAGCATGTTCACTCAAAGCCTGCATCTGTATCTTTATAATCTTTCCTTCTGTGATGACTTATTAAGATAGCTCGTCTTTCTTTTAGTGCAGCAGAGATTATCACAGCCTCAAACGATCAATAAGTTCAGACAACTTMGAAAAATTTGTGGTCAAAACCCTTCCATTTTTCCTAGCAGGGGCCTTGTGTTCTTTATTTTCTGTGTGAAATACCCTGCTGTGTGTGACAGATAAGAGAGACTTGTACATAGCACACACCCACATTCACATATCAAGTCAAGTCAAGCTTCTCATGGGATGTACTCCACAGATGTGTCACTGCACACTGAGCTTAATTAGAAGGAAGGGAGAAAAGGGGCTGTGAAGCATCAAGAGGGAYCAAAAGAAAGTAAAAGAAAGTAATGCAGAAAGTAGTGCAGTGTAGCAACTTTTCTATTTGCATCTCAACATTTCTTCTTCCATGCAAAGCTCAAAGTTAGGAACTTCCGTTTTCATGCTGCCTCTGCTCCTCTAATACCGCCTTGTCTGAGTTGCTTTAATRTCGGTTTAGTTCAGGCCGTTAAGTTGCTGTTGACATCGCCTCGAGCCCTTGAAGCACAAACTTCTTTAGGAGTTGGCTCTCGCTGGGCTTGGTTACTTGGTCTTCAAGGCAGCATGAAAAAAAKACTTTTTTCCTCCCTAATCAGGGCTCCCTAAAGGATAAAAGATGAAAGTATCTAGAAGTCAAGGAAGAGAGGGGTAACGGAATGATGCGTCGCCCAAATGCTCCTAAAGCCAGCCTAAGACTGGAGGGTGAAAATGAGGCAACGATTGGGAATCAGAAGACAGAGAGATCTCACATGACATGAGCTGAGAGAGGCAGCAGATGAGTCTGACTGAAAGACAAAGACAGTCGATCAGGGGCAGAATGAAGACAGAGACAGTCTGGCAGGGGCCTCTGGATGACTACAGCTCTTTAATGCACTCATAAATCCATTACTTAAGGCAAAGCAGAGAGTAAGTGGATTTGTACTCTGGCCCTGTGATTACCCTGCCATCAATAAAGAATGGGCAGGGAATACAGACGAGATTCCACCTCCCCTGCTCTGCTCTCTGGCTGTTTAGCAATCAGTCTGGAAACAAAGATGACATGCTGCTGGAGAGCCATCAGCACAAACCACGCTTGTATACATCAATGAGCATGGGAGATGAACGCTTGAAAACATATGCACAGTGCGTACCTGTTGTGTGCATGAACACAAAAACAAGCTGCAAATGACAAGATGACAGGTACATGTGCTTATTTATCCYGTCTGCTCCATAAACACTCACACAAGGGAAATTTACATTGTCCATGGGACACGCTGTTATCAGGGCTGGAAATAATTATTATTTCAGTTATCRTCTGTCACTTATTTTAGTTATTATTTCAGATGTAATTAATCCAGATTGTTTGAAACAATCAACACTACAAACCAAAGGATATAAAAAACATAAAATCAACAGGGATTATTTTAATAGTCTTAAATAGTGTTTTGTTTTAAGTTTTTCAGAACAAATATTTTATCATGTTATGTTATATCATTCTCTCATCAAAAACATACACAGAGTGTTGCTTTGACTCAATTCATGCATGATAGAGAAAAATCCTAGWATCTCCTGTGGTAGCCATTTGGAGCTGCCTTGACGCTTGCTGGTACAAAGCACCACCGATTTACCCAAAGCTGCTCCTYGGGGCTCAGACTGCAGCCAAGCTCTCGTCCCACAGAGCACCCCCCACACCCAAAAAAAATAAAATAAAATAAACGCTCCACCACTAGCAACAGCAACAATAAGCATATACCTGGTGGAACTGCACATCTAAGAGTTAGGGTTAGTTTTGGGTTAGGGTTAAATTAAGCTTGTGGTACTAATTACAAAACATAGCTTCATAATAATCTATATTTATAGTTTCTTTGCAAAACGTAGCTTAACATTGACATAYATGTATGTGAGGATATATATTGCTAAGCAGGAATGTCTTGTAAGAAACTCTGTACTTGCTCCAGTTCTTCATAAAATATACTTTATGGGTCCGATATGGGATCRTTTGAGTAAGGTTCAACTGTATTCTAAGCTGCCAYTTTCCAAAACCGATCTAATATAACCTTCCTATGAAAGGTTGTAAATAGCATGAAGCGCTGATGAGAAGACGTGCTGAAGTGGGAGTGTCAGAAACAGCAGGCGGTTCTTAAATAGAGAGAGGTCAATTTCAAGGYRTTCAGATGGGCTATGATGAGGTCWTTTTTTCAATATGCATTTGCATAACAACTGAAGGTAACTGTTGCCAAATTGTGGTATAGAATWGAATTAAGTGCCTTGAAAGTGCATAATATCCCCCCTCAAAACATTCTTCATTAAGAAAAGCTTTTCGTGATGAGACTTTATTTAGACAAATGCTAAAAGTCGGTCTTAAAATTATTATCCAATCAAACCCAATTTCTATTATTTATAGTCTGAATTTTCTCCTCAGTGATAAACACCAATAATGTTTATTGGTAGTGGCAGAGTCCTCTGTTCCTGCACTGGATTCAGATTTCCTAATGATGCACGAGGGATTCACTGCATGTAACCCAGTATTACTGTTTTAGCTGGCATCTTCACTGTAAATGCCTCACTTTCCTTCAGCAATGTCAGAGCTGTATAAAGTTACTGCCATGCAACACTCCTGCAGCACATTCAAACACCCAACAAGTGACACTGGACATGTCCTTTATTATAAAACACAGGACATTTGACGCAGTTGTCACTGTGGCTGGCAATGTCTGCAACAGTTCAACAAAAACACAAATAACAAGTACTGCCATTCTGCAAAGGAATAAAAAGCAACATTATATAGAAAGTGGCAGTGCAGAGGCTGCACGTCCTTCAGCTCCTCAGCAAGCTAATAAAAGCTGTACTTACACAGCATGAAATCAAAGTGTGGGTAATATTTATTGACTTGCTTAACGTTGATACTTTGACACCTGTTTTTTGTTCGGAGGCCTGAAATATTACAGAGAAACACTCTTTCTGTTCCTCTCAGTCAAAACAGCTCTAATGGTACCACTTTACAAAAAGACAACCCTTCAAAATAATTAATAAATTTAAAACCACTCATTAATTAGGCTGTAAAGAACTTATAAACCACTCATAAGCAATTACAACTGATAAACAAAGGACAATAATGATTCTCAATTCTGGTCATCCTATGTTTATCTGTATTCTTCAGTCTTTCATTMTAAACTGTTTCTTCACCTGCTACTTTTTATTTAATATTAAACATTTGTCAGCAGTACTCACATAAATAAAGCATAACAAAGAGGAGGAAGCAAAGAAAGATTTACAGCTTTAAAAAGTACAGCACTTTATTTGGCCAAATACTGAAACTGCATGAATATGAAACATATCTTAAGATGCTTTTTTATGCATTTATTACTAATTTATAACTTTGGTTACAGCCCAGATAATACTTTAATTAAAGATCRTTTATAAATTCTTTATGATGGTGGTCTTGTTCTTGTACTGCCACATTAGACTGACATGGGCTTGATGCAGTTAGACAATAAATCATCYAAAATCTTGTGTAGCTGAAGACAGTTGTTATGCTGCGGTCTTCCTATAAACTTCATCTTTTATTCTGAAGCTGTATTTATAAAAAGAGCAGAAAACACTTCTTGGTGCAGTACTGAACACTCCCTGTCTGGGGCTGAACAAAATGAGCTTACTTTAGCTAAAAAGGTTACGTTTTTAGCAGCAGATTGCTGCGCTTAATGAATCACACTGTGGTTTTGTAACAAACCTGGAAGCTGCAGCTGCTTGCCGGTGCCGTATTTAGCYAAAAGCAGATTTTTCCACATTTGAWGCAGAAGTAAGTGGTGATTGGCTGCAGAGCATCCATGGACACCAGGCAGAGCCGTCACAACATGCCACATACAGAAGAGGTGGTAAGAAATATTTTGCTTGTGCGAATACACCTGATCGTGGTCAGTACAAAAAGTAGCTCTAAAATACCGAGCGAGCACGMGAGGATTTAGAAAATAAAGGTGCTCAGTGGCAGACAGTGTTCGTGCAGGAATGTGTGGATGGTAGATGGGAGGTTATTATCAGGGGACAGACAATTGATCCACTTGTCAGGGACTTTGAGAGATTGCCCTAGATACAGCGCAGAGAGGGAAAAAAGACACAAACTGGAAGGAGAGTAGAGGGACAAAAAGATAAACTGACAGCYGATGAAGAAAATGAGAAAGTTTGATGAAAGAGCAGGAAAGGGTATTAGAATGGATCAGGCAAATATGACTCCAATGTTGAGGAAGGAAAACGAGTGTGGGGGGATGACAAGTGGGTGGAAATGAGTAAACAGCAGTGGAAGACTGACAGAAATCTGGGGTAGACAGAGAAGATTAATGACGAATGAAGGCAGCTGGGGGAGGAGGGCTGAGAAGTGATGAAAACATGATGATGTTGAAGACGGAATGGCATGATGGCGACTTGACCCGAAGCTGAGCAGGGAGCAAAGAAAAGAAAGAGCGCGAGAGATAAAAGGTGCAGACTGGTGAAATGAAAAGAACCCAGTGATGATGAGAGGGTGAAAACTGAAGAATTAGGGGTGGGGAGGGGGGAGCGATACAATAGACACAGCAGCTTGAYAGAGGACACAGAGAGAGAAAGTGTCCTGGAAATATCAGCAGGAGATAAGAGGAGAATAAAGCYAGCTCACAGTCAGCCCTGGGTAAAAGATTTTCGACTTTCTCCCAGATCCAGAAATAACTCTGTCAGCTGTCTCATGGTTTTGGTCATGTTACAGTCGTAAAACGAGGCTACATGTCAAATCTCTCCTGAAATACGATGCCGAGTCTTATTTATAGATACTAAGACCACCCAGAGAAACACAAAATATAGACTTTTTTATATTTAGGAATGAGGTAATCAAACACTTTGTTACTGTAGAGCTCGGCATTTTTGGGCAAATATTCAAAAATACAATGTAAAATACCGTGCGTCTGTAGCTATATTATACTGGTTTTAAAGTCATTCAATGACAATCAAATACATAAAAACTTAAACACGTAATGATACAACAATCTCACCACTTGTTGGAAATCACAACGCAACCAAAAACTATATGAAGARAAGAACAGATTATTGTTTGAGTTTACTTCTTTGCAGATCAAATTTGAAATGTATAAGGGAGAAGGCTGCAGACAATAAATCAAACTAAAGTCTGGTGAATGYTGGTGTACTTTGTTCTCAGTTCTATATGAGCCCTGGATATAAGGAGAAGGAGCAGAATTAAATTAGATTTCTCGTGGTTGAAATGTTCTAAAATGGCACMAAGGACGGCGTTGCACTCCAGGCAGTTTTATTACAAGTAATGAAACTCCCTGTTTCTGTACACCTGCACTTACAGAGAGACACGGAGTTACATCCTTGTTAATATTAATTGGTCTGAAAGCATTTTTAAGGTTTAAACTGGACTGTTTAAAAGCTACATTTACAACCACCATTTATGTCAGAAGGAAACAACTTTCAGGTTTTGAACAATAAAAACAAACAAGACAAAATGTGAAGACAGAGATGGTGATAAACGTGAAAACTAGGGTTGTTCGCTGTTAATTATTTTGCTGATGATTAGAGGACAGTTGCACTTTCATGTTTTTGACTCTAAATCAGTTACTCTGTGTTCTAACATTAWACTGACAAATCATCAGTCAAACTAACTTCTTCATTTATTAACAGGTTAGAGTTTTTTCATTTTTTTAATTATCTTTTGAGTTCAATGAATTCCTGAACACCATTTAACACAGAATTTTGTAATAGAAATGTAAGTTTATAACGGACTTTTGGTACTAGAAGTCTTTCAGTGAAAGCAGGATTTAAAATAAATAAATAAAAAAAGATTTGCTTTGTTGCTCTGATTGTTTCAAACTGAATCACTAAGCGTTAAAGTTTTCGTTAGCACCACAGTTCAAGACAAAGTTTCAGTCAATCTTTGGTCCAAGCCAGAAACAAAGCTGCACCTAACTTCATATCGACAACCTGGTCTCATGGGGACTCGGCAGCTTTGCTCATCTGTTCTTTTAACATCTTGACAGATTAGTATAAAATTTTCAGCACTTAGAAAGGAACAAAAGAAGTCAAGTCAGCTTCTACAATCCGACAGCAAAGATATCCAGAAACTAAATAGTTGAGTGCTGATGGTGGCAATTCATTTCTGTCTGTCTAATTCAAAATAAATATTTTATGTGGTGGACAGTAGTGTCATGTTTTTATACATAAAAACACAAAACTAAATTAATGAGGTATCACTGAGCTGAGCAGTATACCAGTTTGTACTGGAAACCGGTTCTTATTTTCATTATATGAATTTTACGAATACCAGTTTGAATAGCCGGAACACGTTCAGAACGTTAAGGCTCACCCTCCAGTAAACAGTTTAGTCTGGGATGTTTTTCCTTGCAACACCGCTCAATGCACATACAGGGCAAGCTAGTGCCATTGTTGGAGCAGTGTTCTGAATGTACACCTCTTCAGTGATGTGCACGGATAGATTTCATGCRCAAAGTAAATTTGCATAATTACGTTCCTCATTCACGACAAGGTTATAATAGTTTTGGATTTTTCATTATAGCTTAGTTTTATTTTGTTTAGACTTTTTTCATTTAATTCAGTTAGTTTTAATTAGTTTTTAGCGTGGATTTGCTAGTTTTTATTAGTTATTATTGTTTTTTAATGCTTAGTTTTAGTTTAGTTTTCATTAGTTCTAGTATTAATTTTCTATAGTTTGAATAAACATACTGTATACGCTGAGGCATCCTCCCACTTGAGGAGTTAACTAACCAGCAGATATTTGGTCACCAGTGAAAACAGTCCATTAGTAACACCTTCCTGAAATAATCACATAACTCATTTTTGCCAACAAAGGACTTTGGCGATTATTTTAGGAAGGTAACGATCATTGTCTCCAACCCGGTGCTACCTGGCCGGGCTGTTGCTTGTTTTTCATGGGGGCTACTGAGAGAGCTTGTTAAGACGCTCACAGTTAGTCCCTTGAGAAGTATTCAACCTTTTTTATCACCAGTTTCCATAACAAGACACTTGCTTTTATTTTTCTTACAGTCATTCAAAATAATCCCAAACTGAACTTAGCTGCTTTCTCCCAATTTTTGTTTGCAGAAAATTGTAAACAAATGACGTTACGGGCCATGAGGTGCTATAAGATGCTCGCAGCTAATGCAAAATTGCTTAGGTTTGAAGAAAAAAATAGACTTGCTTAATCAGTCCACACAGCTTAAAATAAATGGACAAACACAAAATCTAATGATATTCTATCTATAATTTCAGTTCGTTTTAGTTAGATTTGGAAAAATATTATACAGTTTTAGCTTATCTTTTTTTTCATTTTATTACAGTTTTTATTTATTTCAGTTAATTAAAACGTTTTTTTCAATTTCAGTTTTTGTTATTTAGTTAGTTTTAGTTACCTATAAAAGCCTGATTCACGACTGCATCGATACAGTTAATACTGGGATAATTGTTGAAAAAAGGGTTGGGTGGTATGACCTTCAGAAAATACCAGGGTAAAAAGCGGGGTGGGAGGTGGGGTGCATACATAAAGCCAGAGATGGACATTAAAAAAAAACTCAGCTCTGATGACACTCAGAGGAACAGGAGTCGTCACAGAATTTCACCTCTTATTATATCAAACTGACCTAACACAAGTCAAACTACGTATTTTTAGTTTTAACTTTCAAAATACTGTGGTCATTTCAAAGCTGTTGCATGCTTTTAGCGAGTGAAGTCTTTGTGACGATAAAGTATGTAGTCATTTCCTCGTCTGCAGGTCACGGGCGGGTCATGGGTCAAAAAAATATACATAACGTGGTACAACAAAATCCTTTCATACTGCCCACGCCTAGTTGAAAATACCATAGTTTAAAATTTGGGTCATACAGACCAGTGCTAATTTGTCAACAATGATGAATGAACCTCACCTAAACCATAGCTTCATGAAAAAATAAATAAATAAAAAATGAATATCTACCTTAGTTCATACACAGTTTGAGTCATGAGATTACAATTTTAACAATCTGATCCCTGGAGTCATAGTTTCACATTTTCATATATTCACAGTGTAGTTGAACAATGTTAACTAGATGTTTTTCTGTCTGTAGCATCAATTGGAATTTTCACACTGATTAATGAAGAAAATTGGATTAAATGTGTGATGTCACGTCTGCTCACTTTTAAATCAGTTTCTAAGAATGAAGCATTCATTCATTCATCCATTCATTCATTCATTCATTCATTCCTTTCTACCACAACCAGAATCCTCTGATTGCGGTTGTGACTGACTGTGGAGTATCATCCTGTCCTACGGGGTGCAGATGAATACCGAGTCTGCTGCAGCTACAGTTAACAGTTAAGCTGCTTGCCCTGAGGCCATATGGCCATAATGGAAGGTTTACATACCCGGAGAGCTGAACTGACGCACAGAGGTAGATCTGCTCTTGTCATGGACACGGCTGAGGCTGCAACCTTTTGGCACGCTCCAAGCAGTCGTGCTGGCCCTGCTGTCCCGCTCCTCGGCTGTGTCGTAAACCTCCACGTGGGGTGGGCGCTCAGTCAAGTTCTTGCTGTAATGACTCAAACCATACTGGGCAATCTGGATGGCGTAGAAGTAGCCCTGAGGACCCCACTGAGTGGACAGAGGAACACCTGGGTGGAGAGAAAGACAATAGGATGATGGTAAATGGACACTGGAAGACATCTTATTAAAAAAAAGTTAGCACGTATACTTTTCAGCCTGGTTGCATTTTTAATTACTTTTAATTTAATTAAATTTATTTATTTTAAGTTTTGAGCACATATTCATGTTTTAGATAGAATGTCTTGCCAAACCTTTTTGATTAGCTTGAGGAACGATTAAATCTTTTAAGAACCGCAGCACTTAAAGCTCACAAGCCAAGCCTGAATAAATGGTTCAAAATTAATTATTGATTCCAAACATACCATTTTTAAAACATCCACCATGAAAATGAAGATTAGAACATAGTTCTATTTCATCACAATTTCAAGAAGAAAGCAAAAAAAAAAGGAAGCAGAAACAGGATAAATGATGGTAAATATTTGCATAATGGGGTAAAATGTTYTTGCTTGTTTGCTACATTTTATTGCATGTGTCCTGTTTCGAACAGACAAAAATAGCTCAGTRCAGAAGCTCTGATTAACTGCTCACTTTAAAATCTTGTAACAAAAGGACACAAGCACTACCTACATCTCTTTCTTTGAATGATTTACTGTAAAACAAAATGTAAAACAGAAGTTTTGTGTTAGCCTGGTAAAAACCAGACCCTTGTCCTTCACTTTGCTTCGTGCGAAGGGTCTGGATTGCTGCACAGAGAAGCGATTCTTGCTGGAGGCGTGGCCTCTGCTGACGTGTGTGTATATGTCGCTGTGAAGAAGGCTATGCTAAGAAGCTAACCGGAAATCACGTGTGCTGTGAATAACCCTACTGAGAGTAGAGAAGTACCGAGCCAAACGAGAGCTGCTGCTTTGTCAGACAAATTTAATTTAATTTGGAAGMYTTATCAACACGGACTGGCTTCATTCACTTCCTCCACTGCYGTATGCTAAACTAGCAGACACTGCGCAGAAAATCGACTTCGTTCAAAACTTTGCCTTCTGTTTGCTGATYGGCCCAGATAAAATAAACTACAAGCAGACACTGCGCAGAAAATCGACGTTCTGTTCTCTGATTGGCCCGGCTAAAAGTCTGCCAGTGAAATCCTTCTCTATGGGAGAAGTCCCAGCCGGAGCAGTGAAGGGAAACTAGAATTGAGCGGAGCTGCRTAGGAAGACAAGGGCCAGGCTAGTTTTGTGGTAAAAAAACAAACATTTTAGCTGTAACTAGTTCTACATYGGTGGCTCAATTGGTAGAGTTGATGCCTCTCAGCAAGAAGGTTGCTGGTTCAAATCCTGGCCCGGGGACCTTTCTGGGTAGAGTTTGCATGTTCTCTCCGTGCATGCGTGGGTTCTCTCCGGGCACTCCGGCTTCCTCCCACAGACCAAAAACATGACTGTTAGGTTAACTGATAACTCTAAATTGTCCCTGTGAGTGAGAGAGTGGATGGTTGTTTGTCTCATTTGTCTCTATATGTGGCCCTGTGATGGACTTGCGACCTGTCCAGGGTGTACCCCGCCCCTCGCACTGTGACTGCTGGATATGGGCACCAGTGACCCACGCRACCCTGAAAGGAAGAATCGTGAACAGAAAATGGATGGATGGATGGATAGTTCTACATCGACTAACTCTTACATTGTTCCCCAAAAGTTGAAGTAACTTTATAACTTAGTAAGAACCTTCAAAATGTCAAACCATTGATTATGATCAGAGATAAAGAGGATCTATCTTTTGCACATTAGTTGTTTGTTTTTCTTGAACARCAGCATCAGAATTCACTGTCCTGCCAAAGCTGTAAGCATTAAAGCTGAGGACTGAAATCATGTTCTGGAAAAAGTGCACCATGCAGGAAGTCTTAAAACACAAAAATGTTCATAGTACAAAGTACTAAATCTATCACAGACCTAACTTAGCTATTACGTTGATTAATATTTATTGAAAAGAGCAGAAATGTGGGCATTAATGCATCCACAAACACTTTGTTCCACTTCACTGCCAGACTTCTCTSTTCTCCTGTCTTGTTTCTGGTATTATCAACCTAAACTCAAACGGCTGTCATACCCTCAACTCTGTAGCAATAAGCTGCACTGCCACATATTGGCTGTTAAGTCTTCAYATTTGTGTGACTCCAGAGAGCAGACAAAGAAATCTGAAAAAGAGCTCATGCAATAATGCTGAATCTATGTGGCTACCAAAATACAGTAATCTTGCTTTTAAAAAATTGTAACTCATTAGTCATTAGCTTTGTTTWTGATTTCTAGCAGGTGAGAATGACAACTACCCTAACATGAATTCCATGGTCCAKGGGAGGAAACTGGAGTATCTGGAGAAAACCCACAGGTGCATGGGGAGAACATGCAAACTGTCCAGTTGAAGCAATCCTGYAAGCATCTWTCTGAGAGATGACAGCTCTAACCACTGCTCCACCATGCTGCCTCAATATGTGTAAAGTAGATGCAAGAATCCAGAAAAACACATTGAATTGTGTGACATGCTTAACTCTAACTCAGAAACAGAAAGATGTAGGACTCACAAAACAAAAAACCTTAGGTTACAGAGCAAAGGACAAAATAAAACATTTTAAATGCTTAATGGGRTTTTATCTTTTATCTTTAGTAGCTTTTGTTTTGTTTTATGCCGTAGCATTTAAAATATTTTCTTCTTAGTGATTTGATGTTTAAAAGAAACAAGTGGTTGCTTGAGCTTAAAGCACCTGTACAATCTAACCCAGACTGACTCCTGAGACTAGGTATATACAGGTCAGAGGATGGACAGACCATTAAAAAAATTAATGCATCTTGCTGAGAGTCTTGTTAAATAATTATTCGATGAGTAGTGATGTATACTGGGAGAGAAATGTTCTCATGACCTTAATTAAGTYCAGTGGTACCTCTTCGACAGGTTAATTAATGAACTGCTATTTTCACTTCTAAAATCATATTAGGCTGATATGATGTGTGTATACTTCCACATGTGCAAGTTAAATAGAAAGGTGCCTTGGGCCCAGTTGGTAGAAACTGTAGCTTGTGGGAATGTTACTGTGTCTTTTGTTTCCACTGTGAGAAATATGACGTAGAGAATGAGAATTACTGATGAGCCCTAAGGTTTGCTTAAATTCCTGTATGACCCATTTACTGCTATATATATACACACATGCAYCCCTCTCCTGTAGCAGGGCAAGGTAACATTGCACAATCTGTAACCCACAAAAGTATCCGAGTACAGTGCAGGTGATGTCCCTGTAGGAAGTATACATATGTGGTGCTTATGATCTACATGAACAAAAAAAAAAAAAAAAAAAAGCTACCCTACAAGCTATTAATCAAAAAGTTTCAAAAACATTTTCATCATCCCAAATGTAGGAAAAACTTATTTGACTTTTAAAATAAAACTTAGTTTGTCTTAGTTTAACACCATTGGTCAATTCAATAAAGCTAAATAAAAAAGTGGATTAGGTAAGAATGCTACTCAGTACTTAAGACATAATTATTATTATTATTAATAAATGTTTGTTCTTGCAGGCCTAATATGAAAAATAAGAAAATTAATTTCATAATATATAACAGAATCAGTCAGTCAGACATGGCTAATTGTTCTGCAACAAACTTTAATATTTACTCTCTACAAGAAATATATCTACACACACTGATGTATATGTGCATAGTAAAAAACATTAATAATCCATATCCTCTACACTCTTTCTTTATGGGTCACAGGTCAACTGGCATCTGTGCAAGAGACATGGGACACCCTGGACAGACTACAAGTCCTTCACAGTCACAAAGACAACAAACCACTTTCACTTAGGAACATTTTATAGTRAAGGAAGGAGCCTCAATTTTGTGTTGACACTACCAGAGAGCCACATAGCACTACACACTTACCCATTTGTAATAAAACTGCCATACTTCTCATATTTAGCTTTGCGCAACATGCTGTATTGGTGACTTGTATTAAAATYCTTCATAGCAGACAGCGTTTCTAAGCAGTTACCAATTATTCAAACMTGAATGTTTTTGGCCCAAGGGAGRAAACCRGAGTGCCAGGAGACATCCCACGTCTGTACGAAGGACAAACAAACTTCACCCAGAAAGGCCCCAGGCAGGGAGACGATCCTGAGACCTTCTCATCGAGAGGCGGTAGTTTTAACCGCTGCCCCACTGTGCAGCCACATTGCCATGAATAATCTGTCTCACAAAAATATCCACAACTGCTGTCGAATTATTTTCACAGAAACCGGGCATCACTAATMATGAAGTAAAGCTCTGCACCTGACACTGCCTGAAAATATGACTTCATTTTTTACAGTCTCCTGTCAAAACAAGGACCTGCTCTTTAAGAGAAAAGAACTGCTGCTGATTTTGCTTATGACATTTTCAGAATTTAGTTTTTTCATTGGCTTTGAACAGCTCTGAAACTTAAAACAAAAAGGTACAATACATTTTAAGTATATGGCATAATAATATGAGCTTTTTGTTATGCTGATGGGTTTGTCATTTTGAAAATAAAAGAGAAATAATGAATATCTAGTTTGTTATTTCAGCTAAGTACACTGAGCCAATTCTTCACAAAGGCAAAAACATGAAATATATTGATGACCATGTGGTTTCATCTAATAGTCTTTTAAAATGAGCTACTGATTGATTCTTCCTGGCAATTTCTAAAAAAGAAACCTTGAAACAAACGACTTTGATGAGAAAAGGAGTGAAGCACAGCACCCAGTCACTGACTGTGATTGATAGTTCAAAGAAAAACCAACAAAAACTATTGTGACACAAATTCTTCCTGGTTGGTTATAAAAAATACTTTTTTAAAAGTAATGCAAGCCAGAGACTGAGTGAATACTGCTGAAATATATTTTGACCTTGTTAATCAGGTAATGTTTTATAAAGATTTCCTTCAATAAAACACTTAATCAAGCAAATCATACTGTTTTTAAATAGGAAACATTTAAACACATAAAACTTATTATAAAAACTATTTATTGCATCTACTTGCCTTCTTTTAAGTTTACTGTATGCTACATTCACACTTTGTGTAATTCAGTGATWTTGTGAGTCATTTTAAATAATCTTATTGTGTCTTGGAGAGACAATACTGACACTTCAGTRAAAACTTTTTATGCTCTTAGAAGCATACATTTTTTTTTGCTGTAAAAGTTCTAGTATCCAAACAGACTGTGGCAACGAGGGTTTCACTATCAACAGCACAMAGAGACATATTCTAAACTATAAAAGCATATTTTTGTGATATTTAAATACTCAAATCCTCTTACCTTCCACTCCACTGATACACTTGACACGGTCACGAACCTCCACATTRTATCCCTCGAATGACATGAAGACTCCATCAGGGTGATAAGGTTCACGTTGAGTGTAAACCTTTGAGTAGCTGTGCTGGAACTCAAACCGATCATAGCCATCGTACTGGACTATTTTGCCGTAYACCTCAAAGTATTTTTCCATCCAGCTGAAAGGCAGGTAGACCTCCCCGCCCTCTCGCCTGCCTTTGATGGTGGAATCATCGTTGATTAGGCAATCAATCTCTTCATACCTAATCCCGCCCAGAACACCAACAACAGGAGGGGGCTCTGGAGGTTGTGGCGGTTGCTGCTGGTTGCTGATGCTATCATCCCTGATCTTAGGACTTGGAGCCACRAAGGCGGCGCGGGGCAGGAAGCGGATGGAGGTGTCACTGGCACAGCGGTTCCATAGCAGCACCGTGATGAGTGTGAAGAGAGCGCAGATAACAATGAGGGTCTTGTAGTTCACCCGTGCAGCGAGGCAGCGCATGTTCACAGCCGGCCTGTGTGGCACAAACACAATAAACACACATAAAACTGATTAAATACAATTTTTTATCAACAGCTACTTAATTTGTTTGTTTTGGGCCATGAAAAAAAATAATAAAAAAAATCATTTTTATGGATTATTGAAAAGACAAATTATTTTACAATTCCTGTACATACATGACAGCTACAAATGCCTAAATTTCAACTTATTATACACAAACAAAACTAAAGCTTTGTTTCATAAACACACACACACACACACACACACAACAACAACAACAACAATAATAATAATAATAATAATAATAATAATAATAATAATTCTGAGCTTTTAATTTGCTTCCTGACTGACCACCAGTGATTAAAGCCTTTTAAATGTTACTTATARTGACATTTATTTGGTCTCTTAAATTTTTGGAGACAAACAAAATGAAGACCCCAATCCTACTGAAGTCTTTAACAGTATTGACGTCTTTARGAGTCTGGACAAAGCCCTGCAGGGCTTGACCCAGGTCATTTTGCCAAACTACTCACACCAAMCAGAGTAGACTGATCCAGTAGACCAGCAATTAGCAGCAAATCAGCAGGAAGGTAAATAAAAACAGTTTATAATCAATGACGGAGTGTGGGGTACAACTGCTCTTCAGAGACTTTAATTCATAAAACGYGACAAACTAAATAGTTTTACTATTTAAAGTAGAGCACATGAAAACAAATTGTGTAAAAAGGCTTGCATACTCTCAGTCAAGCCAAATTTGATATAATGTTGCACAGAMAAACAACGAGTCACAAATAATCTTTAGTTTAACATGGGCAAGTCTGTCTTATGTACTAGGCAACAATCAACAACTACTACATCTGACAGCTGTCCCTTGTTTTTATTTATTTATTCGTTCTTTTAGGTTAAAAAGAATTTGAGTTAAAACAGCCTTTATYTTTCAAAGCAGTTGATAATGTTTGCACATTTAAATTTAAAGWGAAATTGGATTACTTTTAACAGAAGTAACCAGCCAAGGTCAAACTTTAGAAACAATTAAGAATCTAGAACAAATGTAAATTTTATGTTTAAAATTAAATTAATCACAAATAGGTTTTTTTAACTCTTACTAAAGTTGGAAAACAGACCAGTTAAAGTCTTAATATATAATCTTAGTTTGAAACCACAACACATGACAAGTAGTTTTGGGTGCACATTTACAGTTTAGATATGACGGACAGCAGCACGTTCATTTAATTTGCAGTAAACGAGCAATTAGAATCTCTGAAATTGTCAAAATGTCTTTCCTCAAGAAAAGTTTCTTCAAAGTGCAGACAAAATGTAAATTTGCCAAAACTGTACACTCATCAGATGCTGAGAAATATATCTATTTATTTTGAGGCTGTTTTGTTTAATTTCAGACAGTCGCTCTTACTTGCTCAGCTAATGTTGCATCTTCAGGTCCTGCTGCCCTTTAAAAAGGTTTAGACCATCATTCATGTCTTACTGACATATCTGAATCCAATTTTTAAACTCTTTTTTTATGTGTTGACATAATGTCACCAAAAGATGCATTTTCACTAAACCAACATGTATCGGTTTTCTTACTGCARTTATTTGAACAAGTTTTTGTTTTTCAACATATTTATTTACATTCCATAAATCAGACATGTTGCTGGTCTTATTCAGAGTCAGGATTCATTTTTATGCCTCCTGTTTGTCTTTGACATTTTCACTAAGCAAACAAGAAATCAATGCACAACCTTTAGCCTCCTCCTCCACAYTAATTACAGCTTACTGCCCACAGAGTTTACTGTTAAAGTGATGACAGAGGAGGGAGAGGCAAAAATCATTACTCTCCAAGTTCAATTCACTATCTCACCTTAACTGCGCTATAGCTGAAGGTCGGTGCAATTAATGTGCATTATTTTGAGTAATGCAAAGTCAAATGATTGTGCTAGAGGCCTCTTGAGCAATGCTAATGTACAATACTACTGTAACTATCAGGGATGTAGACAATGAGTGCTTGAAGACAAACATGGAAGACGTGCAGGTTGTAGAATATAAATGAAAGCTCACTGAACAGGAAACAACAACAAAAAACTCATCTTGTTCTATGGTCTTAAGATCCTTTGCTGTTACCCTTTGGTGTATTTCTGCTTGATTGATTATTGGCACACKCAAAGGTCATTGACATTTAAAGACAATCGACCGGTCGGGGCTCTAACACTGGTAAAAATGTGAGGCAGAGGACCTACAAAGTGCTCCCCGAAAGATAAGAAGAACCAATTCTTTTAAAGAAGCAACAATAAATATTGTCTTGTGTTTTCAGCTCACTGTTGCTGGTGTTGAGCTCAGGCTCAAGGTTGATACATATCAGCTGAAGCAGTGAAGCATGAAAAGTWGCCTGAAGCTTCTTTCTCACTTTGATACAATTCATCTAAATCACTGTCCCGTTTCATCAGTATCATTCAGATATTTAACACTTGAATAGTATACACAAAGCAAGGCACCTGGGTCCACACGGCTTTGAATTTTTAAATTTTATCATCTGGACCATAAATGATTTGTCAACAGAGCAAATGCAAGTCATTGGGCCTCATGAAAGAACATGTTCGTATTCTTATCCTAAATTTCTCTTACTTTTGTTCGTACAAAGGGTTCGTACGAACATGTCACGTCAGATTCAACAAACTCTTCTATCTTCAGGAAAAGTGTGTAAATGAGCTGCGTAAATTACACCTGTTCGTATCCAGCTGCTCGTGCACGCGAAAGAAGATTAGCATAATTACCACCCCAATAACACCATATAAGGCTGTGTTTCCTGCCTCAGCTACAAGGAAGTGTCCATTCATGAAAATGACAGCGAAAACTAAAAAGAAAAACTTTGCGAGTTCAGAGATTGAAGTCCGTCTGTCAGAGATCCAGAAAAGAAAATCTGTCATTTTTAGCAGGTCAGCTATGGAATAAAAAGAGCTGCTAAAAATATAAACAACTGTGTTACATCATTTTCATTTATTCAGAAGCGGCAGCGCTGCGCACCCTAACCCCCAACTACCAATCATCAGTGAATATCRGTTTTCCAAACCACATCCGCAAGTGGTTTGAAAGAAAATGTTTTCAATGTGCATTGAGGGAGCTTTGGATCCAACTGCAATAGGATAACTAAAATCTGTTTTAAATGACTGGTCTTAATAACCTTGTWAAAGTACAAATTACATAACTTCCACACTAAATACACTCTACACTGAGAACCAATTTCCATAACCATGACATTAATCTCTTAATAAMCTTAAAGGCAATTTTAGTTTCCATAATCCTTCAACATAAACTATAGGTAAAAATCTAAAAGATACGGAAAAGCCAATGTGCCACATGACTCTCCTTTACTTTAACAGTTTAGACATGAAGACTTGTTGATGTCATATAAATCTTGCAGTAATCCAGTGGTTACCAGATGTGCTTAGGAGGTTTTGCTCTGATATTTTCTCKTTGATGATAACTCTTTGATTTTGAAGATAAACAACACTAACATGAAACAAATATATGTTAAAAAAGAAAAAGATATATGGACAGAAGGTGATAGGCAAATCCTATTGGAGGATAAAAGTCTCTCATGCTTGACAGATTAAGGCAGAAAAAACCCAGAAAAATAAGAGCAGCTTTTCAGCTTATATGCTCCCTTTACGAAAAGTTGAAAAAAATGTCTGCAGTTACAGATAAAGGCTGCTTTACACTTTTAATTTTTTCTTCAGCCATATAATAATTCAAAGTGAATACCTAGAAGAAATGTGTTTAATGAAGCACCACAATAAAAGCACACTTACTTTACATTAAAAACAATGATCACATTGATTTAGTATCATGTTAAACTTTAGAAGCTACTGTTTACAAGTCAGCATAGATTTTGAGATCTTAACAAAATTTCACTAGCACARTTTGTTCAAAACACAAAACTACAGTAAAATAGTTTGATTGAATAGTGTACTTGAYCCTGATCTACCTTAGCTTGGTGGTAACCTGTCGACACCCGATCTGGATGAGGTCAATGTGCTTCTTGAGCCCTCTTTAACTGAATCTCGAGACAAATGAAAATTCATGGYGAAAAAAAYGTTAATTTCARTCATTTTAGGCATGARGTTCTTCAATAAGACAGTCGAATGAAATGAGCCCTGAAAATCAGTCAGKCTGAGAGCTCATAATGGCAAACAAGCATCGCGTTAAATTTCACTCAGATGCTTTGGTTGCATTCAGCAATGCAGATCATTCTACCAGCAGCCGGGATTTGACATTAGGGGTAAGGCAGATGTTGGAGACGAATGTGGATGAGATGGAGATAATCCAGAGTGAAATGAACTGTGAAACTATGGACTTGTAACCATGATGCCCAGCTATCGGTTAATGAGAATGGACTGAGTAATTTCCTGCTTTGTGTTGAACATTGTTGCAACAGCATTCATCTTAAATAGCTCTYCATTATCTTTTTCTACAGATGTGTTTTGGTGATTGTCACAGTTAATGCAATGAGGCTGGGTTTTGGGATGAGTGAGAGAACAGTAAAGTTGCCTTTCTCTGGTATAAAAATCACAAACAGTCAACACAGCAATACGATGCTGAGTGCCTGTGAGAAACACTTTAAAAGTTTGAAGTTAGTGTTGAAACCTGATTTCTGGCATTAAACTGAGCTCCTTCACTGGTGTAAGGTAACAGTTTGAGAACGCCAGTTAATTATCAGCTTATACTAAAGCTTAGAGGCATCTTAGCACATGAAGAAGGCATGTGTATAGTCTGTGTGTATGTGAGCATACAGTACATAGTTAGTGTGGCTGTCTATATAGTTATGAATCTGATAAAGATACTGTGAAGAATTAATATCCAAGGCAACAGCTGAAAGGAATAAAAAACTTGCATCTTTATAACAATGATTTAATTAACAAAAAGCTTTTCTATTTTATTAAGGGTTAGTTTTCTACGATTAGAAATGTAAAAAATTCCAATAAAACATTAGCTACTAAAAACTGATGGAGCTTCTGAGCC